GCTCCGGATAGGGAGATCAATCGATGGGGATTTCTGGACTGATGGGTGGATGGCTAGATAGACACAAGCGCGGATACACAGGCAGACAGATAGATAGGCAAACAAGTAGGCAGATAGCTAGATAGATAGATGCATAGATAGATAGATAGATAGATAGATAGACAAAAAACGGTACGGTAGTCAGAAAGCAAGCCGCGAGTTAGCTGGATAATTGGATAAATGAGCACATAAATAGATTGATGGATGAGTAGACGGATATCTAGAAGGGCGGACAGACAACGATAGACAGGCAAGCAGGCGGACAGATAGACAGACAAACCGACAGGCAGGCGGGCAGGCAGACAGACAGACAGACAGACAGACAGAAAGGCAGATAGATGGACAGATAGATAGATAGCTAGCTAGCCCCATGGATAGACGGATAACTAGATGGATGGATAAATAGAGTATGTTAAAACAGGGACACAGTTAGATAGACAGAAAGGTAGACTTAGGTAGACAGAGATAGATAGCTAGACAGATAGAGATGTAGACCAACAGCCAGCCGGATGGATGGATGGATGGATGATTAGATGGACCGTAACTTCAGAAGACGATCCCGAAATGGCAGTGTGCGGAAAGTCTCCTCAGCTTAAGGCGGCGGTAGTTATGATACACAGGGGGTGGACCTTTCGATGTAAACCCTGCACCGATTAGACCCATGGCATTCGTGCCCCACACACAACACCAATAGTTGCTACTCCTGATTTGTTGACATCCATGTTTTTTAAGTACTTCTCGAAACTGTAGTTGGTTGCTACCTGTAGCTGCTATAGCTGTCCGATTTATTGAGTAACATATGATTGTTGCTAGAATGTGCCCGGTATTCTTCAGCCTTCTGAAGTTGCAGCACGAGGGGCTGTCTGCAGAGCTTGGGCCCTGCACAGAAAAAAGCGCCACGGAGGTGCCGAGACTCAGCAGTGCTCGTCGCAGAAAGCTCCTGAGAGGGAGGGAGGGGAGGGGAGGGTTCAGGAAAGGAGGGTTGAGGGAGGGAGGGAGGGAGGG